TTACTGTATCAACGGATTTGAATGAGGTCTCACTGCCTGGAAGCTGTCTGAGTAGAGTCATGTTGATTTCAGCCACTGTTTCATTCCTTGGTGCCAGAATTGCTCGTTCACGCAGCCACTTGTGATCCTTGTAGTGGTGGATAATGTTTGGGTAGACCATGTTAGTGAGCTCAGTTGAGGACTTTACAACATTTCCACATCCTTTTCAACCTCTGTGTGGTTTAACGGGTCGGGTCGGGTTGGGTGTGTCGGATCGGGTTGGTTGGGGTTTTCTTGAGATCCCCACATGACACTTGCTATCCATGCCAAGTTTGGTCCGGGCGGCTCATTCGCTAGGCCACGGTAGGACGCCACCCTCTGGGAGGCTCCACATTGTCTCACTGTTCAGTCCCCAAAACTTCGTCTTCCATCAATAGTTCATTAACGGTGTATGTAAGTTCCACTACAACGGTACAGCAAAGTATATTTTTTTAGCATTAAACTGTTATTATTTTATTGTCTAATCATCACTACATATAACATCATCCATCATCACTACATATAACACCACCCATCATCACTACATATAACAACATCCATCATCACTACATATAGCACCATCCATCATCATCACTATGTATAACACCATCCATCATCATCACTACATATAACACCATCCATCATCACTACAGATCGGTAAAGTAGGTTCCGAGATTCTCGTGCGGACACACAAACACACATACTTCTTTGTTTTATATATATAGATATGGAAGGAGAGGGGGAGGGGAGGAAGAAGAGGGCGATCGAGTAGAAAGAGAGAGAGGGAGGGGGGGAAGGAGAGGAGGAGGGGGTGAAAGGAGAGGAGGGGGGGTGAGATGAGGAGTGGGTGGAAGGAGAGAAGGTGGTGGAAGAAGAGGAGAGGAGGAGGGGTGGCAGAAAAGAGGTAGGGGTGGAAGAAGAGGAGGAGAAGGTGGAAGGAGACAGAGAGGAGGTGGAAGACGAAAGGAGGGAGGAAATGGATGGAGAGAGAGGGGAGTGGAAGGAGAGAGGGAGGAGATGGATGGAGAGAGGGGGAGTGGAAGGAGAGAGGGGAGGAGGTGGAAGGAGAGGGGGAGGAGGTGGTAGGAGAGAGGGAGAGGAGATGGACAGTGAGAGGGAGAAGAGGTCGAAGGAGAGGAGGAGGGGGTGGAAAGAGAGCGGTGTTAATTTTACAGTTAACAAATTTATTGACAAAGCTTGGAGTACAGTTTGCCTATTCTGAGTAATTTAGTCAGGTCTTGACACTGAAGGTGGTATTGTAGTGGATCCTCTCCCCTACAACTCCCAACTGAGCTCCGGCCGCGCGCCTACCAGCCAATCAGCGTACAGCGTTCTAGTTTAGAAGCTCCAAAAGTTGTTGGTAGCGAAAGTCAGAGCTGGGAAGATGACAGAGGAAGGAGCAGGAGGTTAGAAAGGGATTTGTAGTGGGAGAGATAGTGCCGTGGCTTTACACGACTGCGTTTATTTGGTTAGCGCATCGTGCACGTATTTGGTTTTGTCTGTGTTGGGTGTGAGATCCTCGGGTCACCACTCCTCGGATTGTGTCAGTTCAAGTTTAGAAGCTCCAACAACTTTCCCTGAATACGAATTCGCAACCTTTTGATTTACTACAGGTACCTGCTTTACTGCTAGGTGAACAGGGACCAAGGGGGCTAGGAAGAGTGTCCAAACAACTTCCGCCTGCCTGGGAATCGAACAAGCGTTCAAGTTTTCAAGTTTAGACGCTCCAAAAAGTTGTTGGTAGCGCATAACATATAACATAAAATGCTAGTGACAGGGTGGAAGGAGGTTCAGGGGAAGGATAAAGGGAGGATTGAAGTGAATTTTAGAAGGAGAGAATAGGTGCGTGAGGGAGTTTAAGTTGGAGGCAGCAGCAACTCGCCTGGACGCGGCGAGGAGGCGGCAGGACAAAGTCAGGTAAGCGTCAGGTCAAGCGCCAGGTGCATGTTGGGTTGGGCCATGGTTTTTCAGTGCTTGGTCGGCTTGATTGTGTGTGTTGTTTTCTTGTTTGGAGGAAATCTTGTTCTTCTGTCTTCTGTCTTGGTATTCTTGTTAGCTTGAAGTTGATTTTCTTCTTACTCTCCTCCTCCTCTTGCTCTCTTGATGTGTCCATTCATTCGTGTTTGGGTCTTGTTCTTCGTCTTCCTCGTGTCTTAGGTCTTCATAGGTGTGGTTGACCACGTGGGCTTCAGCTCCACGGGCCTCGTGGTGTTCTTGATTCTTTGTGGAGTGTGTCTTTTCTTGAGTTTTCTTTTCTTCTGGTTTTTTCTTGTCTTGGGAGCGTACAGCAAGGAGGGTCTTTGTAGCTCAGTTTCTTGTCGAGTCGAGCCTTGGCTATCCTGCATTCCTCCTTCCATTTGGGGCAGGTCCGGTCGGTGGAGGAATGTGGGCCGCCACAAGCAGCGCATTTTTTCACTGTGTTGGGGCAGACAGTGTAGCGGTGTCCGGGGCTGCCGCACAGGGAGCGGGTGTCATCCTGCGCCTCACACTTGTTGACAGTGTGTCCGTAGTGCTGGCATTTGTAACAGCGTTTCGGTCTGCAGTAGGGCTTGACTGGCACAGTTACCCACGCCAGTTGAGCCTCCTTGGGTAAGGTTTCATGGTGTCCGATGAGGGCAGTGGTGTCGGACAGCTTCTTGACAACTTGGAGTTGTCCCTTGAGGAGCTCACTCAGCTCTGCTTGGTCCACGTGGGGAATTTCGGCGTGGGAGATTACACCCAGCTTCAGGTTGTCCCACTTGTAGGCAATCATTTTTATAGGAATGCCATTGATGTCTGGGATCTCCGCGAGCTGTGCGGGCATACCCTTCTCGGCGAAGGTGATCTTGATGTCACCATGGAGCTTCAGTCGTTCCACCTTGGTGACCCCCATGATCCCATTAGTTTCAAAGAACTTCTTGAGAACTAGGAGGTTTAATTTCTTGGGGCAGGTCGGCGTATCCGGACGTATCCACGCCACGTTGTCAAACTCGTAACCGTTCATGGTGAGAGAGGGTCAGAGAGTGTGTGTATGTGATCTGGTAGCGCCAGTTCAGTTCAAATTTAGAAGCTCCAACAACTTTCCCTGAATACGAATTCGCAACCTTTCGATTTACAACAGGTACCTACTTACTGCTAGGTGAACAGGGACCAAGGAGGCTAGGAAGAGTGTCCAAACAACTTCCGCCTGCCCGGGAATCGAACCCGTGACATCTTGCTTGCGAGGCAAGAGTGGTACCGCTTCTACCACTATAACAGAAATTATACGAGATGGTGCCGCGTATGAGTTGACTAACCCCTTGGACGAAAGTGAGGTGATAAAGAGAGCGGCTGAGAAAGTAAAGAGGTATGTAAGTAGAGACATGTTTGTTCAGCTGAATGAGCCCCTACTACCACCTTATGATTCTTCCTCGGACTCAGGTTCAGAAGAAACAGATGAGGAAAGCGATGACGGAAATGTGGAAGGTCAACCTGCAAGTAGATTCCCTGTGAGGCAGAGGAGACCAGTAGTTAGTGTAGATATATGAGACGAATATGCTGTAATATGTAACTGTACTATTTACCATTATTGATTCAGGTCTCTGTATTATATGTTATAATCATACTCCCTTTTGTCACTGAGTGTAGTTCATGTTTTAGCCGCATGCGCGCTGTACGCGCATGCGCAGACAGAGATACCGGGAGAGATTCCAAGACAGGACGCCGTTTCCCCTGTCTTAACTCCTTTTGTGTGTTTGTCCCAGAAATAGAACTTACGAACTTGACACCAGTGTGTTTCCTTCACCCCTGATTGGAGAGAGGAGGAGGAGGTGGAAGGAGAGAGGGGGAGGAGGTGGATGGTGAGAGGGGGGAGTAGATTGAAGGAGAGAGGAGGAGGTGGAAGGAGAGAGGGGGAGGAGATGGACAGAGAGAGGGAGATGAAGTTGAATTGAATTGCATTGAAACAGTTAATTTAGCCAGAAAATCACAGATACAGAGTGGATAATACTAACAATATTAACATGGCTGACCCAGTTGAGAACCTGAGCTCTCTTTTAGGATGTTAAGACGGGGGAGGTGTACTGTACATATATTGAGATTTAGAACCAAATTTTGTGAGGTAAGATTGTGGTTGAATCAGTAAGCAATGTCTTATAGAATTTTGGGGGAAAAAAACATATTTTCTCTTACAATTGAAATTTAATGCATCTAACTACATAAGTACATCAAGAATAACACAGAAACACCAAGAGGTGACCGTAAAAACCAGACTATAGGCGACGAGGAATTACTGTACCTTTTAAAAAGTAATTCGTCTTAATATTTGGTAAAAAGCTCTAATTATAAACCCTTTGACTGCACAAGGAATATAATTTGGCCCTATGAGAAAACAATGGAATTGAACTCGTTTTATATATCCTATAATAACATGAAATGGTGACACCATAATATAAGATATAATGAAAGGTTTCGTCTGAAGGAAATATGCTGAGAATTTCCTGACATTGTTGACTTGTTCCTCTTGAGGCTGACATTGAAATTGAGAAAATGTGAGATACTGATCCTCTCTAACCACTTAAAGACGAGGCAGTATACATATATATATATATATATATATATATATATATATATATATATATGTTACTGGAAGCGGTACATAAATATGATGACATGGCAGCTCCTGTCGAAAGTTACTACCACTCTCTATCATCCATGAATCTATCTAGCCTCCTTTTAAAATCTTCCAGCGTTCCAGTACTTACTACAAAGTTGCTAAGCATGTTCCACTCGTCCACCACCCTATTTTTGAACCAGTTCCTTCCTATCTCCCTCCTAAACCTAAACTTATCCAACTTAAATCCGTGCTACGAGTCCTATCCTGCTCGGATATTATAAAATCTTTATCTATATCTCCTTTATTGATTCCTTTCTCCCACTTAAATACTTCTATCATATCTCCCCGCACTCTTCGTCTTTCTAGGGAATGTAAGTTTAGTTTCTTTAACCTATTTTGATATGGAAGGTTTCTAAGTCCCGGAATCATTTTCGTCATTCTTCGTTGCTCCGACTCCGGGTGGTGAAGGCATCACTAATTACAAATCTCGGCGGGCAAGTGCTTGAGATAGGTATCGAAGATAAGGTCCTTGATGTCCTTCTCCGGTCGCTTTATTCGCTTGCTTTGGCCTTCTTTTTCATGAGAAAATTCCTTAAGGGTCTACACGGCCACAAGTAGTTCAGGGGAATCCAGTCATTTCGCCCACACTTTGGAGTAGGTTCGCCCACACCTGTTTTGTTACCCGTTTTAATTAGGTTTAGTAATGTATTAATGTAAAGAACTTATAATGTTTATCTATCAGACCAAAGCATCCAAACCAGTAGAATAACAGACACAGCAGCAACTAGGGGAGCAGGTGTTCACCCACGTAAGCTGACCCACCCTACAGTGACTAAGGTGAGATTAAGACCTGACCTAACAGAGGTCACGATCAGAAAGGGAAGAGTTCTAGCCTCCAGCCGGCGTTATGACCTTGTCATTTCAAGGAACTGCTATACAGCCAGTACTCCTGACACCTGAACAAACAAGCCGGTCTACAGTAGACACACCCAGGTTAGTGTTAATTAAGGGAGGACATCCGCTGGCCTGAGACCGCCAACCCACCACAGCCCCACCACAAACTATGGTAGATTATATATCAAGAACATGATCCACAGCTCCACATGGCCACCATCCAGCTGGAGTATTTTCAACCGGTCCGTGCGTACCATTAATGACATTGAAGGATGGCACAACCGACTGAATAAACGTGCTGCCGGAAGATGCCACCTTCAGTTTTATCTGCTTGTTAACCTTCTCCACAAAGAGGCCAGACTAACCTCTGTACATAAGACTGGTATCAGAAAAGAAGCTCCGAAGGATCCAGCGAAGAAAGTATCACGAGTTGCAGGCCAAAATATTTGCTCTTTGGGACGAATACTTGAGGAACGAGAGGAGAGCTCGCGCCCATCTCAATGGACCAGTCAGCAGCTGTTATGTGACCAAACATCCTAAATCCATTCAGTTACTTCTATCATTGACATTTTAAAACTTTTTTGTTTGTGTATCTTATATAGGTTTTTATACTTGAAAGTAACTCATTAAACAACCCGAGACTTAATTTATATATATTACATTGTTATCTTGTACATGAATAAACATAAGTAGAACTTGACAAAGTGTGGGCGAACTGACTTCAGGTGTGGGTGAACCGACTCCTACGTGCGGGCGAATAAACTCAAAATGTGGGCGAATGGACTTGTGGGCGAATTGACCGTAAACCGTTCAGTGTAATCTCAATGAGGAAGACAATAAAGCTGGAGAAGATGCCGACACCTAGGAGGACGAAAGCAGAGACCGTCTTGGAGAACCCGAGATGCTGGAAGGCGTTGTCAGGGGCACAGGTGTATGTGTTCCCCCACCACTTCCTCATCAGCTTGGGGATGATGCCCGTGTTTGACAGCTTCAAGATACTGAGGGTAAAATGACACTGTTATGCTAAGGTGTCCTATCCTGGCTGGTGGGACACGACATGCTGATGTGTCAGAACTTAACATGAAGGAGGATGGAGAAAATAGTTATTGTCAACTACAACGACTTAAATCCATCATCTCTATAAATCTGTCATGTTTATACTCTTCTCTGAGCTCCTCAGAATCAGTTATGAGTAGCACATTGTTTATATGTGACAAAAAGAAAAAAAAAGACAAATTAACTCCGATAGTGGTGTCAAGGTCTGATTCTAATATACCACAAAATACCAAATTACTCTGAATGACTTCCTGGATTCTTGGGCCGTGACAATTAGATTCCTCCGGGATGTGGTCAGTGGTATTAAGAATAAGTAGAAACATGATCAAATATCTACTGTAGGTGAAAAGACGTATAAATAAGAACTGTATCTGGTAGAGCAAAGTACAAAACATTATTATCCCTTGAGGGTGAAAAGGTTAACCTATCGTGTTCAATGGGTTTAAAGTATCGCCCTCATGGAATTAAACTATTGTCTTCATAAGGTTAAAGTATCAACCTCAAGGATCTAAACCATTGGTCTTCAAGGGTCAAACCATCATCCTTAAGAAGTTAAACCAACTTCCTCAAAGAGTAAAGGAAATAGCAAGGAGGGAAAATATGCACGAGTAAAATGAGAATATCAGGTGTAGATGAAACAGTGTGTGCAAGTAATGAAAGCAATACGAGACAGACAAACAGGTGAAGAACTTACTAATTGGAGAGGACGTTGGCGAAGGATAGGTTCTTCAGGTACCCGACGTAGTTGTACTCGGCAAAGTAGCGCCCCAAAAACTTGTAGGAACAGTTCCCCTGAAGTTCATACGATATTGTGTTTATGAGTTGGAAGAAAGCAATCTTACCCTGAGGAAAATATGAACAACAGTGGCAGTGGTTTATAAGCTTCTATACCCCACCTCAACCACAGTATTGGATCACCACCACCAAAATACCTGAGCTCTATCACCTTGACACATTACTTCACATCCAAGTACACAATCTCTAAAACGCATCTTTTTGATTTTGTGTAAGACAATATGACACAACCAACAAATTATTTTGACAACACGACCGAGACAACAACAATCACGGTGGACATTTTGAAATTCATCAGACCACTCTGTAAAGATACTTTTTGGAGTGTCTGTGTGATACATAACTCAAATCCATCAAAATTGCAGCAAACAAATGTATCGAAACAAAGTCATTATTTCATACGTAATTACCATTTTTGTTTTCTAGTATTGGGTTAAGTGATGCTCTAAAATAGAAGTGAGTGTTAGTAACAAGAGGTACTGACCCTGTAGTTCTGGAGGAGGGCGATCGCTTCCTGGTTACTGGACACCAATAGGGAGGGTTTATCTAAGAACTGATCGTAGAGGAGCTGGAGGCCCTCGTCGTGGGAAGTCTGTAAACACGGAGAATTGTATTAGACTCGACAGATCATGTGAAGATCGGCCCCTACCATCCCCCAGTTTATATCACCTGATGATTAAATCTCCTAACACTACCTGGAGGGAGTTGTCTAGGTTAAGGTGAGCATTAGGTAGGTTAGCTTAAGTAAGCGTTACCATAACTAAACTTAAGGGAAAGTAAGCTTAGGGGACTAATTTTTACATGATCTTATTTGACAGGTGTTCTCTTGAAAACAAACATAATATCTTCTGAGTGAATAAATATATAATCTTTGTCAGAACTTAAGACTATAGGAAATGAAACAAATGGACGAGTACTCTAGGGAAACTGAGAATACGAAATGAACCTCACGTATATGAGTAAAGGACGAGAGAGAGAGAGAGAGAGAGAGAGAGCAGACATAGTGTTATTGCCGCCCTCACTCAGTGTTATTGCAATTATGGGAAGGTGATAAGAGTAATGAGAAAGTGTCGTTGTTTACTTAGCGAGGAGATGATGGCGTTATCATCTCGGCCATAGATGATAAAACATATGGCAGGTCTGTGACCTCGCCAGTTGTGTGGGGGTGTTGGTCGCTCTAGCTGGCACTGATCAGTATCGGCCAGCTCTTTTGAGTGAACACACACTAGCCACCACAGGAGTAACTTGGAACGATACTAGGAGTTAAGTGAAGCTATAAGTCGGCACACGTGAGTGAAAGAACAGTGAGTGTTTGTGTTGTGGTGAAATGTTGTGAACTAAGGCACAGTGTACAGAGTAATGTATTTACTAACTGACGTATAATGTATACATATAATGGAATGTAATCAGTAGATAACAAGTGTCTCATTCTTTACAGGTTTGACCATATCAACCAATAAAGATTGAGTGAGTCCACGTTGTGGGTTTCTCTCACCCTTAAGATGTGACGTCTTCTAATTGTCGAACCATTCGCCAGTTAAACATGGTCTTTGGCTTTAAAACTTTTGAGGGTATTGTTTCTTTTTAATGACTTCAGCTTCAAAGCTGAATGCTTGGATTTGATCCCAAGTCAGATAGATATAGCATCTATATCTATATCTACCAAGCTATCTAGTAGATAGATAGATAGATAGATATGCAGATAGATATAGATAGATAAATAGATAGAGATAGATAGGAGTCAAAGAGGTTACCTGCATGTCAGTGATGTAGGCGGTGCCAGCCTCAGCTGCGATGGTGTAGCCCGCAGAGGTGAGGGCTTCCTTCAGTGAGGTAAAGGGCGGTTGTGTGTGGACGGTGGCCAGCTTGGAGGTGAGACGCGCTGTGTAGGAGAAGTAGAGCACCACAGAACCCACCCAGAAGGCGAAGAACACGAGGCGGCCCCTCCAACACGGCGGAACAACCTCTGACCCTGTCAAGCCATACCAACTGATGAATAAGTAGGCATTTGTGGCTCAGCACAGTGGTGCCAGTAGCTGGGTAAGTAAATAAACAAACATGCCACATCTGGCAGGTTTATATGTAGTTACTTTAATGACAATTTAAAATGGAGGAAGAGGAGGAGGAGGATGTGTAGGAGGAGTAGGAAGAGGAGGACTCACCTTGCTGGGCGAGGGCTCCCACGAAGGAGAAGAGATAATTATAGAGAGTTACTTGTACCGACGGGCGTGACACAAGCACCACGCCAACGCCCATCACCGCCCACACCACCACAATTGCCACCCACACCTTCCTGCAACAAGCAGTTGACACCAGGATTAGTGAGGAGAAACCATGGCAATAAGTAGAGGCCATGGCAATAAGTAGAGACCACGTCAATAAGTAGAGGCCATGGCAATAAGTGAGACCATGGCAATAAGTAGAGACCATGGCAATAAGTAGAGGCCATGGCAATAAGTAGAGACCACGTCAATAAGTAGAGGCCATGGCAATAAGTAGAGACCACGTCAATAAGTAGAGGCCATGGCAATAAGTGAGGCCATGGCAATAAGTAGAGACCATGGCAATAAGTAGAGACCATGGCAATAAGTAAAGGCCATGGCAATAATTTGAGACCATGGCAATAATTAGAGACCATGGCAATAAGTGGAGACCATGGCAATAAGTAGAGACAATGGCAATAATTTGAGACCATGGTAATACAGTAAGTAGAGACCATGGCAATAAGTAGAGACCATGGCAATAAGTAAAGGCCATGGCAATAATTTGAGACCATGGCAATAATTAGAGACCATGGCAATAAGTGGAGACCATGGCAATAAGTAGCAGCAGTAATGAAGAAGTAACCGATGTTTTGCTAAGAGAGAGGAAGAGAGAGAGAGAGAGAGAGAGAGAGAGAGAGAGAGAGAGAGAGAGAGAGAGAGAGAGAGAGAGAGAGTAATTATGCCAAACATCACCATAACTATAGAGTAAACATAGCTGGTGCCTATTCTTCCCTACAATAGTCACCCACCAGTGAAAGGTGTTTGCGTAAGTAGCCCAGTCCAAGGCCTGTACGCCGTGGTCATCGAGGACTATAATCTGGACGCTGGTGAAGTCGATGGGAGGCGAGAAGTCAATTATCTTAGACCGTGGGATAGTGAAGCTAAGAGGAGCTATAGACACATCCGCTAGCTGTGGATGGAGGAGTGTACAGGTATTAGCCCCATTCGAACGAGACACTAATGGTTATATAAATGTGGGCTATGTACATTATGTTTATATACTCTGGGAGAGACGACAACTCATGGAAAAAATGACTGAGAATGGGAGAGTTGACGCAAGAGGTGTGAAGGTTATGTAAACAAGACAATCCTTAACCTAAATTAAAACCTTGTCTAATTTACAATAACCTTTGTTAACTCTCTTACCAGACCTAAACAACATGTAACTTTCCCCTAACTTAGCCGAAATTTAATACACTTAACCTAACTAACCTAATCAAATCAAACTAAGCCGTAACCTATTCTAAGTAAATTAACTTAACCTAATCAAACCTAACATAATAAACACCTAACCTAACCTAAGCAAACATAACCCTCTTTTTTTTTAATATAACATAACATAACATAACCAAATCCTTTGGTCATATTATGCTAATGCCAAAGGGGCAGAGATAACAAGATAACAAAAAGAGAGAGAGAGAGAGAGAGAGAGAGAGAGAGAGAGAGAGAGAGAGAGAGAGAGAGCTTCACCTGTCTTTGTAGCTGCCCGACCAGACCCGTCCAGCTGCCGTTCTTCCTCGGTGTACCATACTGATTGTCCGGCGTCTCCACCCACCGTATCCTACAGGAAGAAAACAATGATGATCTTTTGTCTGTTAGGTCCTGCCAGTGAGGAGACGATCTTTATAGATTGTGACTTTGATGAAATTTGGTGAAGTACTTTGGTAACCGAAGCTAATCTAATCTAATCTAATCTAACCTAACTTAACGTATGACCTACAGTATGTGCTATGACACAAATACCTCCTAGGCCACCTCTTGGTAAGGTGTATATATCTTGTACGGTGGATATCCATTGGCTCCTGCTGGGCAGCTTCCCCTATCTGTGGATGATGGGCATGACTATGATGTGGTATATCTTGACTTTAGCAAACCTTCAATAGAGTCCCCCAGGAAAGACTAATAAGAAAAGTGGAGGCTCATGGGAGGAGATATTCTAAAATGGATTAGGGCGTGGTTACAGGACAGGAAACAGTGAGTGAGCATTCACGGCACTAAATCCGATTCGAGTAACGTCACTTAGTGGGGTACCCCAAGGCTCAGTACTTGGACCATTATTATCTATTATATACATAAACGACATAGATATCGGCGTGGACAGCAACATAAGTAAATTTGCTGATGACACTAAAATAAGGCGTGTAATTAAATCTGACACGGACTCCGCAAAACTACAGGAAGATCTAAACAAATTTTTCGAATGGTCTGAAAAATGGCAGATGAAATTCAATGTGGAGATGTAAACAGAGAAACCAGATACCAGATGAACAACGATGTTATAGAGAAATCTGACTGTGAGAAAGACTTAGGAGTAATGATAAGTAGGAATCTTAAGCCAAGTAAACAATGTGTATTTGCTCGAAACAAGGCTAATTGAGTACTTGGGTTCATACAAAGGAGTTTTAGTTACAAGACTAGCGAGGTCATCCTAAAACTATATCTTGCGCTTGTGAGACCTCACTTGGATTATACAGTTCAATTCTGGTCAAAGTATTACAGAATGGATGTAGAATCCATAAAAAAGAATTCAGAGGAGAATGACAAGACTAATCCCGGGCATTAGGAACCTTGAGCACAGAGACAGGTTAAAGCATCTTAATTTGCACTCCATCGAGAGACGTAGAGTGAGGGGCATTATGTTAGAGGTGTATAAAAGGAAGTCAGGCTAAACAAATGTGACATTACAAAGGTACTCAAACTATCCAACCAGGAGCAAACCCATAAGAATGGTTTTAAATTAGACAAATTTAGATTTAGGCGTGAAATAGGTAAACACTGGTTTGGAAATAGAGTAGTGGATGAGTGGAACAAGTTACCAAATATCATCATTAACTCAAATACGCTGGATAGCTTCAAACATAGGTTGGATGGATATATGGGCGATAGGGTTTGGGTGTAAATGGGACTGTCCATTATGGGCAGCCGTGGGCCGTTGTGTTGCGGGGGGAAGATGGACGGTGTGTGGGGAGAGACGATCCCCCGTCCATTCTGTCGAATGAGCTGCAGCTGGAGCAGTTGC